GGGAATGTCTATCTTTGAGGTGCCACCTAAAAGAAAAAGGGAAATTCTTTTTCTTAAATTGATAAAAATTAATGAAAATTTGTCCAGCAAACCATGAGTTTAACAGCCACATTCATAAAAACATGAATGTTTTACTGTTGGAAAAAAGATAAAACAGTACCTAATGCTGTTAAGAACCAAACAAGTACACAAAATCTCATCATTGCCAAACTCTTCAAGTAAGATATGCTCTGAAAAAAAAAAACAGTTGCACTTTATGAACAGTTTAGTAAATGATTAGTAAATAATGTTTTAACAAAAACACTGGTTTTAAGTTGATTATGTGAGCTCACCTACAGTTTCTGGGCAGGAGTAAACGTCTGAGATGTAGGTAATGCATGCATCACTCTGTGCTTAGAACTCCTACAAGAGCAGTTTTATATTCCTGAGCTAACAGCTGATTGGCTCCCATAACAGGAATTTGAATTGGGGCCCAACCAATTACATCAGTGGGTATAAATATGGAACTTAATATGCAAATCACTAGTGCTGTGTAACAAACCTGGTTTTTCCAAAGGAATCCAACTCGACATATATAATACAAATGTATATAACAGATTCACAATCAACAGTTTAAATCACATGTAAAAACTGACAAACAACATAAAATGAAATAGTAGAATAAAGTGAAGTTGTAGTTTTCATTACAGTAACTAGTTACTGATTTTTTTTCTGAATTCATAAATATTTACTTCATATTCAATGAGTGGCGGCACGGTGGCGCAGTGGGTAGCGCTGTCACCTCACAGCAAGAATGGCCTGGGTTCGATTCCCAGCTGGGTGACCAGGGTCGTTTCTGTGTGGAGTTTGCCTGTTCTCCCCGTGTCTGCGTGGGTTTCCTCCGGGTACTCCGGTTTCCTCCCACAGTCCAAAAACATGCAGTCAGGCTGATTGGACATGCTGAATTGCACCTAGGTGTGAGTGAGTGTGTGACTGTCTATGTCTGTCTGTCTGCCCTGCGATGGACTGGCGACCTGTCCAGGGTGTATCCTGCCTTCCGCCCAATGACAGCTGGGATAGGCTCCAGCACCCCACCGCGACCCAGAAGGATAAGCGGTTTAGATGATGTATGTATGTATTCAGTGAGTGCACAATGGCAGATCATGAATATGATTAAATACCACAACAGCTTACATACAGATATTTCTTTCCAGTAGTGTTGTAGTCAAGACCACTAGAGGTGTTTCCGTGTTAAGGCCAAGACTTTTTAGTCATCCAGACCAAGAGCAGAGAGACCAAGACAAGCCATTTACTACCATTCATTATACATTATACATATTAATAAATAACAATACAAACTCAATTCCAACAAAAGTTAGGACAGTATGGGTAAAAGAGTAATTTGTAAATCCACTTTGACCTGCATTTAAACAAAAACAGTACAAGGACAAGATATGTAATGTAATCTTGTCAATTTCATTGTTTTTGTACACATACACTCATTCAGAAATAGATGTCTGCAACACGTTTCAGAAAAAAACGTTGGGACAGGGCAGATTAAGATGAGGAATTTTTAAATGTTTCAAAATAATCTTAAGCAGCTGATACAGCCATGCTTGGGTATAACATAACATCCAGGAATGGCTGAGCACTTCATCAGCGAAGATGGGTCAATACTCACCACAAAAACTGCATCAACAAAAATCCTACAGTTTAAGAAGTACTTTCCTCAGTGAGTGATTGCAAGGATTTTACGTATTTTACTCTCTACAGTTATAATAATACTACATAATACATACATAATATCATCAAAACATTCAGGGAATCCAGAGATATCTCTGGCAGCAAAGGGAAGGTTGAAAACCAAAACTGACTGCTTGTGATCCCTCAGATGGCATTGCATTAAATCTGGCTTCTGTGATGAATGTCAGCACATAAGCTCAAGAATGCTTTGACAAACCATTGTCAATAAACAGTAACCACTGCTGTACTATTAAGACTGTACTATGCACAGCAGAGGTCATATGTCAAAACTGCCAACTTCTCTTGGTTCATTTGAAAGGGACTGATTAATGAATTATTTTGGTAATAATGGACACTGTGTTCTCTGGGCCAAACAAGAGAAGGAGCATCCAGACTGTTACCAGAATAAAGTTTAAAAGCCAGGATCTGTCATGGTATGGAGGTATTGCACATTTGGGAAGACCCCATTAGCACTAAACATAGGAGCAACATTTTGAGCAACATATTCTGCCTTCTAGATATTGTCTTTTAGGGACATCAACATGACACAAAGCCACATTTTGCATGTTACAACAGCATGGCTGCGCAGTCCATAAGCAAACGTACCAGACTTGCTCTCCTGCAGTTCAGACCTGTCTCTCACTAAAAATGGGTGCAAAACACAACAATAAAGGACCTGGAGTGTTGCACAGCTGAAGAACTGTATAACAGAATAATGGCAAAAAAATCTGCTTTTTTCCGTGATGTAACACTGGTAAATATGTTACTGTCCCAATGTTTTGAAACTTGTTGTAGGCATCAAATTTCATAAGTTCATAAAATAAAACATCAAATATTATGTGTATGTACTATTTTTAATTTAATGAAGGTTAAACAGGATTTATTAAATACTGCTTTCTGTTTTTATTAGCATGGCACTTATTGTCCCAACTGCTTTTGGAACTGGGTTTGTATATTTATATGTTGTATATAATATTGTAGTGTCCCACTACTGGCTGGCGCTGAGGGACTCTGGAGGTGTGGCTACGCAGATGGCCACCCACAAAGGCTCATGGTAGTCCTCCTAAAAAATGACTTGTGTTGTTTGGTGTTGTAACTTGTTATATATAGTTATATTTAAGTGTTTTTTGTGTTGTTATGTGTTGGGCAGAGCGCTAATGTGTGGGTTTTGTTTGTGAGGGGGGCCACAGTGAGTTCGGTATTCTGCATGTGCCACTTTCTGCCATGGTGTTCAATAATGAGTACTTATTACAGCAGATCATGGCTACCTTTGTGTTTCTACTTCTGTTAACACTACAATATTTTAAATAATACACAGTTTAAAAATATGATTAATTATTATTAGATCACAGTCTTAGTCCAACTTTGCATTATAACTTTTGAAAGCAAATGACGGTGGGTTATTTTCTGTGTCTTCTTTTCTAAAACTAATTCAAAAAGTCAGCTGAATCTAAATGAAGCAGCAAACATCCATTTTATTATTAAATGATTAACAATAATAACATTCCCATCTGTCCTCAGGTAATGTTTTAAATTTGGAACCAATGAACGTCAGCAGACAAACAATATTCAATTAATCCATCATGGAAATATCAATAAGATCCTCATCTGGTAGTGAAGTGATTTTATGTAAACAATACAGTTAATTGTAGAGAAAGGACTGTTTTATTCTGTTTGAAGGTATTTTTAATGTTCAGTAATGATAAAAAGTTTCCAATTACATCAGATGGAGGCACTGCACTCTTGCATTCGTCTGATCTCCATAACAATTTCCGAGTCCACATTCCCCTCAGATGGAGACAAGACTGAGATAAAATGATGTTGAGAGTGGGACAAAACCAAGACGGCTAATTTACGATGAATGGCCAAATAACAATTGTGGACTTGCGTAATGCAAAACTGCTTTCCAGTAATCAACTTATTATGAGCAAAATATATATTCACAGACCTGTGCACAAACTTTTTGAAGGGCAGGCTCAAGGAAAAAAGGGCAACCTAAGCCTGAATGAACATCTCAAAGTAATCCAAAGTACTGCCTTTTGTGTCTTATTGAATTTTCTGCATGGAGAAATGGACCCCAATCTCCAGCAACAGAGCTGTGGTGTTAATCACTACACTAAGTACTAGTAAAGAATGAGTTATGCCTCTGTTTAAGCAGGCGGTCTCTTCAACACATCCACATCATCTCACATAAATCCCTGATTTTACAATAACAAAAACTTTATTTGGCATGTTATTTGCGCCTTACTGTCTTACTGCCAACACATTATTGTTTGAAATAAACCCAACCTGTGTCTTAACAGCAGGGTTTCCGCTGCTGTGGTGATGTGTGTGTCTGTGATAGGTCAGAGTTACTGAGGCGAAATCTCCACTCTATCTAGTGAAGCATACTTCACTAGATAGAGTGACCAAGAGTGACAGGGGTCTCTTAAAATCAGGTGTAAATTAGAGGTAGTGTTCAAAGACATGTTGTTAAGGCACGTTCTTTAACAATAGCCGCAGTCATAGCAGTTAGATGGAAGCACAGGCCTCAAACATGTGCTGAAAAAACATTTACCAGCAGAATAACACTATTTCCTGTGATCCTTGCACTGACTACTAATCAGTCCTAGACAATGTACACCTGCTTTACACTGTGCTGGGCTGCTTCCCTATTCATAGTTATACACCCTCGTGGGTATCATGGATTGAATTCTTATTCTCATTTTTTTAGGTAAGCCTTGATAGACTTCTAACATTCAGTGGTGAACTACAGCTATTACTGTGAGGCCTTCAGGTTTGGGCCAAAAATGATCTTCTCTACAATTTCTGCTGGCATGCCTATGAGATTGGTGTAGTATGTTAGCACTAAGCTAGTGGTGATTAACATGAATTTCTTGGCCATTCCAAATTAAACACAGATGTTCCATTTTTTCACATAATACATTCACATAATTGCTCCCACCCATTGGAATTCAAAATGTGGTTGATTCCTCTGTTAGCTCCTAATTATGTTATTGGTTAATTTGACATTTTAGGCTTTTAGCTCAATCCTAACCCATGAGAGCTTGTTTGGCACTATTTATACTACAAAGAAAACACTTTTGTTTCCAAGGATTGTGACTATCAGCACTTTTCAGAAAAGACTTATTAAAGTTTACTTGCACTTGTGTCCTCTGGGCTGTCTTCCCAATAGTTACACAATTAAAGCAGATACAATGAATTTCTGAATTTATTGTACAAATGTATTCATTTTATTAGTCTTTTTTAGTATTTATTATTTGGTCCCATCACGTAAAACCACAACAACAACAAAACAACAATAATAGAAATATACTGCACTATTAGCAATTAGCCAGTTATTCCTCAGTCTGCATCATTACAGTAGCGTAAAAAGGGGAGAGAGTCTTATAAGCTTTATAAAGTTCAGTTTTGTTGGTAATAAATGACCTTCGAGTTCACATCTTCACCCATCTGCTGTGGTTCATTGCTGAAACTCTCGGCTGCAAAGTACGAAGCTTCATCACATGCAGCCTGCAGAAAGAGACTGAATCATTACACTGTATTTCACAGTTTCACTGCTGACCAGCTGATCATAATCAGACATTCTGTACAGAGTGAATTAATTACCTGATACGCATGAACTGTGTGACGTTCAGCAGCATCTTCAACAAATAACAAGTAAATCATTCAAACATGCAGGATTACACTATTATAGTTCACTGTATTCATACACTAACATTAGATATTAATAATATCAGTTTCAGAGGTAAAACCTACCTTTATGATGACTGCTGTGTTTTCTGCACACAAATAAAGCCACACTCAGAGAGATGATGTTTGACACCACTAACACGACAGTGGTTGGGTCCAAAGTACGTTTCTCTATAAAAAGCAAGAAAGACTATCTTTATAATTTTGTCAAAATTTATGACTCAGATGCAAAAATTGATTTAATTAATGATATAAATGGATCTGGAATTCTAAAAACAAATAGATTTAAATGGCCGTCACAGAGTTTTTCTCTACACTGTTACACAACAGAAGTGGAAAAATCTTTTAGGCTCAACACTGCATAAATCCATATCCTATGTCATTTCTATCATAATAAAAAAAGAATGACAAAGAGAATCAAATTTCTAAATTTTACTGTGACAGATTTTCAGAGAAAATTACATTGTTAGAAAAAGTGTACAGCACACGCACAAACCAGTTAAATGTACTCGCAACGGTACAACAATGGTATTAACGTCTAAATATACAAAGCAACATTACATTCACTTTCCGTAGAGAACTGTACATATTTTAACTTTTTCTTAACTTGATTTTTAAACACAAACATGTAGTACAATGCATGGAATTAAGATGGGGTGTGTGTTTCCTAAACATAGGTTCTTAAGACGTACCTTTAGGTGTGACACTGCAGTGATCGCTTTTCTGAGAGCTCAGGTTGAGCTTAAGGCTATTTAAAGGAACTTAAAATATCTGATCTCACCTACAAAGTCCAGTTTAGTTCCGTTCCCAAAGATGATCTCTCCACACATGAGCACAGCACAGTAGTAAGTTCCAGCATCAGAGAGGCTGAGGTTTCTCTTGGGGAGTTTGTAGACACAGCTCTGTGTAGGAGAATCAGTCTCAGAGCTTTTCTTACACTCATCACTCCTGTTTCCATGAGTGTAAATGATTCCTGGATGAGATTCTCCTGATCCATGTCTGAACCAGTACACACTGTGTTCTCCTGCAGACGTATCTGTGAGTACTGAACACTGCAAAGTTGTATCTCCTCCCAATTCAACAGGATCTGATACAGGAGGCTGGAGAACAGCAGAGAGACTTGAAGATGAACCTAAAGAGAGAAAAATGTTACTTATTATTGATTGAGGTGTAGATTTAGGTTTACATTGTAGAAAAAAGTAGATTTCAAAACTGATGTTGTTTAATCAAAAACAATGTAGTAGAGTAGCACCTACCTTTGAGCACTAAGACTGTACAGTCTGATAATGCAGTGTCTGAATAAAATGTGACAGAACAGTAATATGTAGCTGAATCAGACGGTTCTGCATTTGAGATACTCAGATAAAAACTGCTCTTTTCTCTTACTGCATTAAAGCGGCCGATCTTGTCAAAATCATTATGATATTTAATGTCTACAGTGTGAAAAGCAGAAGCAATGAGAAGAGGCTTTTCTCCTGGAGTCTGTTTGAACCAGGCAGTAGACGCTAATGCATCAACAGATGGAAAAAAACAATTCAGCTTAATGTTTTCTCCGATCTGTATGTACTTCAGTCCATTAAGACAAGGAATGTCTATCTTTGAGGTGCCACCTAAAAGAAAAAGGGAATTCTTTTTCTTAAATTGATAAAAAATTATGAAAATTAGATCAGCAACCATGAGTTTAACAGCCGCATTCATAAAAACATGAATAATTTACTGTTAGAAAAAGATAAAACAGTACCTAATGCTGTTAAGAACCAAACAAGTACACAAAATCTCATCTTTGCCAAACTCTTCAAGTAATATATGCCCTGAAAAAAAAACAGTTGCACTTTATGAACACTTTAGTAAATGATTAGTGAATAATATGTTGATAAAAACCAAGTAATACATTTGCAGTCCTATGTCACTGGAATGAAGTTGATTATGTGAGCTCACTTACAGCTTTCGATGGGCAAAATCATCTGTACTTAAAACTTCTACAAGGGCAGCTTTATATTCCTAAGCTAACAGCTGATTGGCTCCCATAACAGGAATTTGAATTGGGCCTCAACCAATTACATCAGTGGGTATAAATATGGACCTTAATATGCAAATCACTAGTGCTGTGTTACAAACCTGGTTTTTCCAAAGGAATCAAACTCAAGATATATAGTACAAATGTATATTACAGGCTCATAATAAACAGTTTAAATCACATATAAAAACTGAAAAATATAATCAAAATTAATAATATGCAAATGCACAGTAGTATGTTGGTTCTACATTTGGGATACTCAGATTAAAAGTGTCTTTTGCTCTAAATGCATTAAAGCGGCCGCTCTTGTCAAAATCATTGTGATATTTAACTTGTACAGTGTGAAAAGCAGAAGCAATGAGAAGAGGCTTTTCTTCTGGAGTCTGTTTGAACCATGCAGTTGCTGCCGGATCAATGGATGAAAACGCATGAAATGTAAGATAAGCAAACTTTTTAAAAGCAAAAAAAAAGTTTAAACAGTTTAAACATTTTTAATATTCTGCTATATTAATCAAACACTTCTGGTGGTAATGACTACTACTACTACTACTACTACTAATAATAATAATAATCTATTTAGCTGGAATTCAGTGAATTCTGGGAGCTCACTTACAGTTTTGAAGGACAAAAGTAGCCTTTCACAATGTAGTTAATATGCATGCAAAACCTCTGCAGGAGCAGCTTTTATAATTCTGTGCTGAAAGCTGATTGGCTCCCATAACAGGAAGTATAATCACACCCCGACCACTCACGTGGACTCACAAGGAGCAGAAATGTACATCTTGATATGATATTGTGATATGAACTTTAAATGTGTTACAATTTCTCTTCAAACCTTTCTATTAATGTATGAAAACAAACAGAGCAGAAAACTAACATAATAAACAAATTATCATGTCAATTTCATTTTTACTAGATTAGTGTAGAGCTCAGACAGGCAAATATTATATAAAGCTGATGCCCACCTCATAATTCAACTGCTATTATTTACTTTAATTCAGCCATATAACACAAAATCAATCTCCATAACTCCTAAAAGAAGTACTGAAACATTCTACATAACTATGAATTGCATTTCACTATATTTTTTCACAGTTTCAGGATGACACTGTAAACACTGAACCTGCCGGTGCAGTTCCAATTGTTCTGGTCTCCAGAGGTGGGCTTGGGGGTCTGAAAGGATCCAATGCTCCCGAACTACACTGGACCAGGGACTGTACATGAGATCATATAAGCCATTTTTACATAAGATTACTTTTTTGTTTCTGTATAAGCTTTTCTCAGGGGTTCAGAAAATCTAGGCTTGCTGTTGTTTATAAGGCTTTATTTGTTAAGGTATCTTAAGGTATCTGTTACCTTATCTGTTAAGACTAATGCAACCTTTTACACAGTCCGTTTTCTTTAAGACAACAACAGTTTGCTAAACATTAATAATAGCAATAATTAACATAGAAAAACACTGTAAATGTGTTCTTTACTCATGAACTATATCCTATGTTTGAGTATATGTTTAGCAGTGACCACAGTCTAAATGACAGACACATACTGCAGTAAAGGACAAACTGCTGAAACTTCCAACCACATCAAACGATTAAACAGAACTTTAACAGCTTCTTAAAAAAAGTGAACATCTGAACATCCCTGCCTCACTCTCATAGATATATATATATATATACCTTATACATCAGTTGTATAGTAGTTACTAGATATTTCACTGTAGTGACTGACCAGTGAAACCTTAAGAATAATAACTGAATTATAAGGTTTCTAGGAGTATAATCTGTGAATACTTTCCTCTGATCTAATCTTTAACTGAAACATTTTCATTGACATGCTGCAGTGTTATTTAATAAAGCATAACCTGAATTCTCCATGTAGACAGGATGCTGCTCCTCTTTCTAGAAGATGAGCTGAACAGGGGGCACTGACTTTGACACTGACACTGGCAGCTGGGCACTGGCAGTTGTGGTCACAGCTGCTCTGAGAAATCACATCACAGAATTGCAGGTTCAGATGCTCTTTGTTTTCTCTGCACCAGAGGAGCCGAGCACTGGTAGCTACAAAAGACAATCACATTAAACACTGCTCACATGGAAAATCATAACCTGAATTAAAGATCCTGTTTACATCTGGACTTGTATATAGACTGTATTTACACGTGGTTAAGAAACGGGTCTCCAGTTAGTCCGTTGATTGCTATGTGGCTCGACATGTACAAGTCACCTTATAACATGACAGCCAATTGCATGTTTTACCAGTTTCTTCCTGCTCTATTCAAAACATTGCTTTTGCTTTTATATTCGCCAGTTTTGTAGGCCATTTTTCTTTTTCAAAGTTTACAAGAAGGCAGCTGTTTAGATTCATTGATCTGTAACATTTTGTAGTAAGACGGTGAATAATGACAAGATGAAGTATACATTAACCAAACTAGTGCTTTACTTACTGATGCTTTATCTAGCTTTAGTTAAACTAAATATCTAAGCATGCAGGGCTGGTCAACGTTCAAGTCATAAGGGCAACTCATGTCAGGAACTGAACTGAAAGGAGCAGCTCTGCACATGTTAAATGGCAGCAGGCCAGGGGGTGGTCCCTCTTCCATATGCAGAAAACCAGGGGAGGTGTCTTCACAATGTTGGGAGGGGCTCTGTTTGTCAGATCTGTCTTGTAGAAACAGATGCATTTACACATTTTGTATTTCAGATCACGATTTGAAGTGGTTTAAGCGATCAGATTTAAGTTTGTTTTAAATATGTAATTGGGCACATTTACACTTGCATTTTAATGTATATGTGTGTGTATCACTGTCATGATATAATTCTCAGTACACATGAAACAACCCGGTATAAACAGGGTCAAAAAGAACCCTGAAGAAAAGAGCTTATTCTGTGCACATTTTCTGTTGGTTTACTTAGAGAAAAGCAACTTGCCAGAAAAGAACACAGCAAATTTTTGAAATGCTTAAAGTTATCTTTAATGTCAATGATAAGACGGATGATTTAATAGAAACCACAAAAAAGAAAACAGGCTGATCAGTTTCTCATAATGACAGTCATAGAAGACAGAAAGTGTATACCTGAAACTACACTACATTCATATGCACACATATGTGTGTACATATGTGTGTACAACGTTCCAGACTTTAGAATTAGGCTGAAAGATGTAACATACAGATAAACAAGTCAAAAGCGTTCACACCCAAAAATCTTTAGTATCTTGCTCTGATTGTCTTTAGCAATAAATAAAATTAGGACTGGATCACGCTGTATCAAACCAAATGTCAAATATCATCAGTTGATAAACAGATCCTTTTTGATGTTATAAGTAATTACTCCATCTTCATTTTCACACTATTTATACACACCCATGTCTTTTTCTAGCCACTAATTATCACCTGCAGTTATGTTGTGATCAGTATTTTGTCCTGTGGTTTCCTGTCTGCATGTATTCCCTACTTCTTAGTGCTCCTTTCTGATCTTCATGCAGGTCATCTAGTTGTTGATCATAGATGTGCTTGTGTTTGTTAAGTCCTGCAGTATTCTGTACTTGACTGACAGTGCTGACAACACCTCTAGGAACAGCTTTAATGAAGCCTAACAGCATTTCGGTGATCCCTCATCCCTATACACAGAATAAGGAAGTAAGCTGAAAAGTGTCTGATATCTTATTTCACAAATTATAGAAAGACACAGCATTACTGTAATAATTTGTTAGGCCTCTGTCAGAAAACATTACATTACATAAAAAAGGGTGAGAGGATTCTGTAGATTTTCAGTTCAGTAACTCAGCTTTATTGGGGATGTTTGATCTGAGAGTAAACTTCAGTGTCTTTAAGCTTCTGTTTTCTTCTAGTTCCTCTGGATGACGGTGGTTTATTAGAGAAACTCAGTGCTGCATAGTTCAAAGCTTCATCACATTGACCCTGAAGAAGAAAACAGTGTTTAACATGTTTAACTGCAAAACTAGAGGAACAAAATGAGAGTTTATCAGAAGAGTTAGAAGATCCCACAACACACATAGTGAGCAAAATCACATTTCACAGTATTCTGAGGTGCAGGGAGGTGATATCTGAAGGTAAGAGTGATTCTAAAATTCAGACAGCACACTTCTTTTATATTTTATAATAACTATAAACTCTACTGTTTATACGCTTCATATATTTATCTTCAAACTTTGTTTTACACTACACTGGTACACTTACACTTAGAAGAAAATAAATGAATCACCTGATTTACTTTGGACTGTGTGACCCTCAGCAGCATCTTTAACAAAGAACAAAAGTAATAAAGTAGCACAGAAAATCACAGCTTGTAAATAAAACACAAAATGTATTAACAATGAAAATTGGACAATCATATCAGTTTCAGGGGTAAAATCCTACCTTTATGATGACTGTTGTATAATTTTCTACACAGAAATAAAATCACAGCCAGGAAGATGATGTTTGATGCTGCTAAACCAAGAATGGCTGGGTCCAAAACACTTTTCTCTGCAAGAAGAAAGCAGATCGTTATACACACACACACACACACACACACACACACACACACACATTTTCTAAGCCGCTTATCCTTCTGGGTCGTGGGGGGAGCTGAAGCCTATCAGATCTTTATAATATAATGGAAAATCTGTGATGAATGTGATGCAGAAAAAGACATACTAATTTTAAAAATGTTAAAGAAGAAGCTAAAAACATAATACTAAATATAATTTTCATATAATTGAATCCACAGTGTAAAATCAATGTAAATTATAAATGGCTACATG